CTCTTTGAGGTTCTCGGAAGGAGTTCAGCAGGGTTTGGGCAGGATGAAAGCTGTGACGAGCAGTGCGGAAGAGAATGGCTGCAGCTGTACCATCCTGCAGTCTGTCAAGAGTATCAGGCATGCCCAACGGTCGAAAGAAATCAGCAGTGGGTCCTTGCTTTGCTTTTGGGATCCACACACCTACCTGGGTTGGCGGCGCAAGGGAACCAGATGGCATGTGGTGGAAGTCATCTTGTAATATAGCTGCTGTTTGCTGTGGGAAGGCACGCCAGAGGGCATACGGCAGTCCATCAGGCCCTGGCGCCGAATCTTTAGTGAGTAAGAGATGCTCGAGGTAGTCTTGCGCAGTAGGTTCAGGGATACGTGGCCATGGGGAAGTGCACCGTCGGTAAGCCGAAAGCGTACTGTGCCATTCAGCATCATATCTAACAGGGTGGACAAACCAAAAGTCTCTTGTCGCGAGCATGGCCTCATCATACTCTAAGGCAGTGCGGCACTCTTGTCCATTATGCTGCAGCAACGGACCGTGATAAAAGGTGCTTCGTGGACAAATAGTCTTGAGTCTGTCCCAAAACAGTTTCTGTCTGTGAATTCTTTGAATAGGATTGACGCTTTCAGTACCAAAGGGTAGAGATGTATTGGCCGCAGCCGAGACTTCAGCTGCCGGCAATGCTGCCGCTATGACTGTGGCCGGGACACGGAGTTTCATCTGTACTAAGGTGAGACGTGTGAAGCAGTGTCGTACTAACTCGGTGGGCCTGAATTCTGGAAGTATGCAGTGTGCTGTATCAGGACTTTGACTGTTGTCCTAGAAGGCCTTTCAAAGGTGGCCTTCGTGTGCAGACAAGGGGAAGAGCTACCCTTGTCAGGTTCGGTTGCGGGCACTCCTTGTGGAAAAGCTAAACGGGGCAGCCGGTGCGAATAATATGCAGCACGAGGTCAGTGATGATCGTAACAGGTCATCACGTTGCAATGCTTCGCAGGCCTTGGAAAACCACTACAAGTGACTGCACGAGCAAAAGAGGCTGTGGCCAGACGTGGATACAGAGGTGATGGACATCGCAACGAAAGTGTGGCTGCAGGCAACCAGTTGAGCTCCCTCAAGCTGGAGGAGGCACTCACGCCCGCCCGAATGGCTCCCGGGCAGCAAGCGGGGGGAGCCTGGGGGGCGTGCGTATTTCAAAGAAGAATGGATAGAGCAGTCATCACAGGTCACTATCTGGGCATGCATGGCCCTGGTGAAACTGGTGAAACCGAAAAACACCAACCCAAAAATCCCACAAAACCAACAAAAAACGACACCGGAAACCCCAACAACCAATGTGGGCAGAGTTTCGCACTGTACTACGGCGAAGTGGGCCTGAATTCACGAAGTATGCTCATCAATGCTCCCGAAACTTTGGATCGAAGTCCTTGAAAGGCCATCCATAAGTGGCCTTCAGCGCAGACAAGGGGCCAGGCCGCCCTTGCCGATTGAGGTTGCTGGCACTTCAACTATATCCGAACGCATGACAGATCAGCTGGTGCGAAACGATTGCAGCTCCTCAGATCAACATTGGTAGTTACAGGTCATCAGTAGTTGCAATGCCTTGAAAACAACCATCTTACTGCACAGCCATGACACACGACTGCACAAGCAGGACGATTGTGGCCAGTCTTGGACACGGAGGTGGTGGACATTGCGACACAATCGTGGCTGCAATGGGGTCCAGTTGCACGACTGCGAATGTAATACTCGGTCACTGCACGCCAAAGCTGCTGGACAGTCCCTGCACCGCTGATGAGTTGCACGTGTTCAGCTACTTTTCAGGCAAATTCCTCAAATACAGCAAAGAACTGATCCCCCTCATTGATTCTCTCAACCAATGCTCTGGCCATCACACTTGCCTCAAGCATACTGTGAAATGATTCGATCTCTGTCTAAATCTCGCGAAGAACATCAATCAAGCCTCAATTGAAGGTTTCTTGACAGTGAACTTCAAAACAAGCTCTCTGTAGTAAAGGGCCTCCTCTCCCATCTGTGGGAAGAGTGGCCATGTGGCCTCAGATTATTGGAAGAAGCATTCTGACAAGCGACCATCCAAGAACACCAAGGACACTGGAGCAGACACTGGAAAGAAGCCTTTTCCTTCCAAGCGAAAGAGGAAAGGCAAAAGCAAGAGCAAGGGCAAAGGAAAGAAAGGCAAGCTTTGCGAGGTTGAAGGTGACGAAGGTGATTGGAAAGAGGCTGAGTGGGAAGAATTTGACCTTGAAGAATCTGAGACTGAGGAGGACCAAGTGGCCATGGTTGTCAGATCAAAGCCTGGAGAGGCTTCGAGTGCTGTTCCGGCGAGTTCGAGCACTAAAGGGGTCTTCCACCAGTGAGCCCGTAGTTGATAATGTCACTCATCCTCTTGAGTACTTGTTGAGCACTCAGAGCTTGGGAAAGGATCTCAAGACCCATTGGCTTGTAGATTCAGGTGCCACTTGTCACATTGTTGCTGAGGAATGGTTGAAGCTTTGCAAGGTAAAGTACTGGTACCCAGGTTCAGCTCCAATCCTGAGATCAGCTGCTATGCCTTGTCAGAGACAGGGTGGTTGACTCGACTAGGAGGGGCGCGAGAGAGTGTCCTTGAGAATGGTCATGGTGCCAATTTCGCTTTGAGGATTTGTGAACGTGCTTGGTGGTTGAAGGTTGATTTGATTTCAAAGCCAGGTCAAACCAGACGCGGAGGCAAAGCGACCAAAGGTCCTGCTCCCATGGTTGATGAGGTGAAAGGCCCCCCATCGAACCCAAAAGAAGAGATTAGAGAGACCCAGACCACAGAAGCACGAAGCACTGAGAGCACAGCCACACCACATACACAGTACAGAAACGATGTTGAAACGCAAAACGAAGCACTGACAGTTTCTGGCACGATGGTTGCCAGACAGAACAGGCACGACCAGTTTCTAAGGCAGGAAAGTCCAGAGCTAAGGGCCGAGAAGTGATGTGCACTCAGCCTGGTTCTTTGCAGTCGTTTTCGTATGTGTGTCGTATGTTTCGGTTTTGTGGTGATGAGTCTGTTTCTTTTCCAAATTTGTCTTGTGAACATGAGCCCGATACGTTGGAGAAGGGGAAGGAGGATGATCAGAGAGATTTTGCCTCTTTCACTTCTGAGTTTGACACCTGGGAGGTTGAGTCGAACTCGTCTTTTGTGAGCTGTGAAAGCCAGTTTGTGGATTTTGGGTGAATTTGTGGCCTTCATTTTGGGGTCCAGCAAAACCGGTCTCGCCACGGAGGGCCTCCCCAGTAGCGCTAAGGAGGACAGGTTAGTTGGCCAGATCCCAGGCGGACACCTCAGTGTCTGTCCTGGATGAGTACATAGTATACAGTCCTTTCGGTGACATAGGCGTAGTGCGTTTCTGTTTCACTTCGTTTCACTGTAGAGTTGGGGCACTGCATGATTCACCCGGCAAACACCTGCAACCATTCGACAGCTTTCGTGTTGCGCTTCCCTTTCTGTGCTTTCCTTGGCAAAGCTGTTTGGGGAGCACCGTCGCAATGCCGCTGTCTGTGTGCTCCTCCTCCCCCGCGGCGGGGGGGAGTTACAGCTGTCTCAAAGCTGTTGGCCATGTCCCTTGTTTGTGGCACTTGTACTGCCCTGTCAACACTTCGTACATTTCGTAAGTCAACAGACACGCTGCTGGCCTTCTCTCATCCAATTGCTTGGAGCAATAGGATGATGCCGCAGTGGTTTTCCGTTTTGTGCCTGTCCACTCTCCCGCAAGCATACAGGGACTCGGCAACATGGTCATGCAAGCCTCTCGCCAGCCTCAATAGAAAGCAAACAGTGTGCGCAGCTTTGCTTCTTTGAGAAAGGCCATGCCAAGCGCTATTTCAAGAGCGCTAGGCCACCATGTCATCCCTTTCGAATGCCCTTCGATCGTCAATGTCCTGATGTGCTAAGAGGCCTTTTGCTAACTTGTCTCACTCTTATCTTTCCGTCTCACCCTCGCATGAGGTACCTGAGTTGCACTGCCAGGATGTTTGGTTGGGTTGTGTTGGTGGTTGTGTTGTTTGGCTTGTTTTTTGTTGGTTGCTTTCTGTTTTGGTTCGGTTGTCTCTTTCCTGGCTGGTAACTCATTTTATCCGTAGCACAAGATGACCTGTGCAATCTCTGCACACATGGCGTCTCCACCCGTGCAAAAAAAAAGACGAACCCTTCGTTCAGGCGATTTTTCATGTTTCTATATAACACAATTTTTCAATGGTAACGCTGAACGTTTTGGGACAAAGGTTTTCGGACAAAACTGGGGCCACTTGGGGTCAAACTGGGGGCATGTTCGGAAGATGTTCTTCCGAAACCTTCAAGGTAGCCGACCCTATGCATCTGTGAAAACCTGTACGAAGCCGAAGGTTTCTAGCGATTTTTCGAGGCTTGTGGCTCTCGAAAGACAAGGGGGCTGTGTAGAACTTACAGGGTTCAGTACGTTGATGGAACGTTAGTACGACATGAAGTGGTTATGGCGCTCAACATCTTGGGTGAGAGCCGGTTTATGGAGATGTATTACGTCTTACGTCGTACATGTGTGTCTAAAGATGTGTGTGGGTGTTTCAAATAACAACAAGAATCCGTGTGAGGCAATTGTGTTGGCGTCGCTCTCTTGTTTGGGATGTATGGGTTCTTATTGGCATTGGCGCATGGTTGGAACAAAATTGAACGCTTTAACAAAGGTTGTTCTCGTTTGGACATTCTTCCTGATGAACTGCCGGCAGATTCAATTCGTAGCGGGGTGAACATTTAATCAATGACACAGTGAAGGAGTGTTTTATCATACAAAGCAACAATGCGTCACATTTGATTTGCCACCCTGGCAGTTGAGTGGTTCGAAGGCGCCACATGAATACAGCCCCTGGAAAAGCTTGTGCATGGTGTGCATTAAAATACGGGGTTTTTTAAGTTTTTTTCAGAGGAAAATCTGTTCGATCTGTTTGGAAGTGTGTTCGTGCATTTTTCGTCGGTCGCGGATTCAGTCCAATGGGCAATGTGTGCTGTGAAGTGCAACCGCAAAGGCATGAGGTTAGCTTGGAGACCTTCAAGAAGTCCAAGATCGACTTGGTTTTGTCCAGCATCCACATGATCAATTTCTTGACTGAAGTTGATCACTATCCTTGCCTTTATACGAATGAGGCTGTCCTTGTGGAGGCCGTTCGTCGTTATGAGACCATTTGGCTTCCTCTGGTGGCACGGTCTGGTGTTATTGAAGTTGTGCCTCCTTTGGATGTAGAGTGGATTTGGCATTGCCATATGCTCTCACCTGTGGCTTATCAAGAAGATGCCCGTAAGGCCAGATTGAGCGTGGGGCACCGCAGGGGCGGTGAGCAAGTCATATCGTTGAACCATAGTTTTATGTTCGATCATGGCCAGATGCCCGATCAGGTCACTGGTGTGGTCCCTGATCACCGCTTGATGCCGCGGTCTGGGGAGGCGTGGCAAAAAGCACAACAATTGGCGCGGCACCTCTGGCAGCAGCAAACCTCAGAGCCCTTTGACGTGGCGGCGCTGGCCACGGTGCGCACTGTGTGCGTGCAGGGACTAATGACGCACGTACGGAAATGTCGCGTCATCCACCTGAGTTCTTCTTACTCTATCAAGAACTGGTGTTCGCCAGTGAATAGGGGTTTGTAAGTGGAGGTTCTTTCTGTCCCTTGTTCAGAAGTGACTGTCATCTACATGCTAAATGGCATAGAAATTCTGAAGACACCGAATGATCGACTGTTCTTTTTGGTTACTTTTCGTTACCCGGTAAATGCCTTCAAGCTACCTTTCATTCACCCCTTCGTATCTCAAGTGAGTCTGGTGATGGTCATTTCGCTTCATGCCAAGGTATCATAGTGTAGCTGTGACATGTCCCGGCAGACATGCAAGTGCAGACGCTTTGGGAGCCGTTGTCTACTTGACATTGCTTGCATATCATTTCTTGCAATGAAGCTATTGAACAACAAGGTTTCCAGGGGAAGTAGTACAAAGACTCTGTTTGTGCAAACCATTTGTTTTTATATAGATCTTCCATCGCATTCGTTCACTGCATGGAAAAACACAGCGCTGTGAAGCTATAATATATATATATATTAATGTAAATTTCAATCATTTCCTAGCGTTTTTGCACGAATGTCCTGAAACTGACAGACGACTTTTCATTCTTGGGAGGCTCCTCTGGAGCAGAAACCGCTGATGTATCCAACTAAGCTCAGCCACGACCTCGTGGCAGCGGCAAAGCGGCAAATGTCGTTCCACTACCAAGTAGCGGTGATGCCGCACTACCGCCGCTCGGCTTGAAAGGCTTGCAAAAAGACCGGTTTTCATGATACAATGATGCTTAATTCCACATGACGAGTGTCGAGTTGACCGGTTGCCGCTCCAGTTCGTTGTAGTATGCTCACACACTCACGCACGACCTTTGGACACGTGCGGGCAAGTGTACAGCATGGCATGTCTTTCGTGATCCGGTCAATGCTTTGTTCGGCCCCTGGGCCCCTCTGTGCGAAGGAACACCTTCATGATCAGTCGTTTGTTTCCGTTCAGTTGTTTGATTGTTGGTGAAGCCTTTTGGGTCTTTTCTCCTGCGGTGCATTGACTTGCAAGGAGATATTCAATTCTTGGAGCTGGCGGTGGAGAGGTACCTCGACAAGTTCTTGGAGTTGAAGAAGAGACATCCCAAGGTGACACTTTGGAGGGCCGTTTGAAGACCAATTACAGTTCGTTTCTGTTTGAGCTCCAAGCCACTCTGTTAGAGTGTGTAGTGTCTTCTTTTGTCTCGGACTTTTGCTGTCCATGTGCAGGGTAGAGAGAGTGCTGGCCGTCAATCAAAAGAACAGTGCTTCGCACTAGCAAAGCAGGGTTGATGCTTAGTACTCCGGTGCAACTGAACGGATTTGGCCCTGACGCCCTGACAGGACTTTTGGGTGCCGACTTATGACATAGATTGTGTTTGGCATGCTCATCAGCTACATCCACATTTGTATGAGAGAGACCTTTGAACTGTGCGGCTGCGTCCTCCCCCATGACGACAGCTGCTTGACCTGTTCTTGGTGAGTAATCATGTGCTGCGGGCTGCCGGTTCAGACAGGATAGGCTCATGCACAAGCCTTTTTCCAAGAACTTACTTGAAGCCTTGATTCAGATTCGCTTTAAGAGAGGGTGGGAGTTTGGAGGTTCCCTCGGGGTTTGGAATCTATTCCGAAACAAGTCCTGTAGAGAACAAGGCACACAGCATCCACTCTGTTGGCCAAGTGTAGGAAAGTGCGTAAACACATAGCCATCGTAGCAGAGACCGAGTCCCTGGAACGTGGTGAGAGTCCGTGAAGGAGGTGTGACCATCACGGTGACCGGGAAACAAAGCTTTGCAACCTTAAAAGCTTCACACCATCCAAAGCCCATTGGTTGGATGTCACCCTATTAAAATACACACCCAAAAAGTGGAACATGCCTCCAGAAAGCTTCAGGAGCTAGGAAAGATACAGTGTACAAAATGGTGGTGGTTACACAGCAACATTGGCAACATGTGGTGGTGGGTTGGCAAGGTGTCAATGACCGGTCTGCTGGCAGTCGCCTGGAAAGCCGCTGGGAACAGACGCAGAAGACCTGGCAAGCAGAGTTTGGTGAGGCAAGATTGGTTTGTGGCAAATCTGTGGGGCCTGCGAGGATGTAGCGGGGTCTAGCTATTGATATTGTGTTTTTGGCTTACAACTCACTGATCGGCTGTTTGGCTTTTGCACAAGCCTTGGACCCTGACTAAAGGACAGCCAAACCTGCCCAATCAACTCTTCAGAGTGGCGCACTTGCTTTCCAAGAACCATATCCACCAGCAGTCCAGGGCCGGTCGCAGTTTGTCACTAGTAGCAAGAAGCTACTACTGGGTGCTCGGGTTAACTTGTCTCGAGTGGCAAGAACTTGTGCCAGATGAGGTGTGCCCTTGGGGGAATGCTAGATTGGAGCTACCTTTCTGTATGTATGTTGTTGTTTATCATAGGTTGAGAATTTGACTAAACCGCAAAGGCACACTATTGATTCTGGTGCTAAAGTCGTTGCGATTTCATGTTTTTGGCTTCACTACACTCTGATTAAGGTTTTCCACAGTTGTTGCGAATCGGTGTCCCCAAGTTGTGTCTAGGCGTGTAAACGTGCGTTGTTTGGTCATTTCATACTGTGTGATTGTTTTTTTCTTGGTGACTGGTGCTTGGAACATCTTGGAACACAACTAGCTTCAAGTTGCGCTTCCCAACCAATGTTGGGACAGAAACTGCGTTTTCCAAATGGGGTAAGTTTCTACATTCGTGGGGTAAGCGGTGTGCCATGGGGGTGGGTCAAGTTCCTGTGTGATGGGGTAAAATACCACATCGGGTCGTAGTAGCTCCTGGCCTTACTACTAGGAGCAAAGACGCTACTAGTAGCAAGAAGCTTTTAGGGGCTCCTGGCCTTACCAGGAGCAAGGACGCTACTAGCAGTCCTGTCAGCCCCTGTCAGGTTGGCCCCCAGACCTCGGGCGGCATGTTCCGAGGCAGGTTCCGTACCGAACTCTCCTGGGTGGTTCCGTGACGGGGGGTTCCCTGATGAAGCCAGAGGAGGTTTGTTCTGTCGACATTTTGTGAGGGGGAACAGTGGGTGGATGAGCGAGTCAAACTGCAACTTCTCACTGCTCGATTTTTCGTTGAGTTGGCGCCACGAGTGGGAAGGGCGACGTTCGACCCTTTGAGGCAACGTGACGCTTCGAGAACGGGCTCTGCGCCCGGTGCAGCGACCGATGCTGTGGACGCCCGCCAAGGGCGCCTTCCGTGTGGAGCCGCAGACCGAGTGGCGTACCTTTGGCGTTGGAAAACCGGCGGACGCCTGTGGTCTTACCTGGTTACCTAACGTGCTAGAAAAACATATAGCTGTCTAAGCTGTCATGCCACTTGATGTTCGCCGCCAGTGGGCCACGCAATGATTGAAAAGTGGTGGGCGCAAAGGCTCTACAGTAATTAGATCCTCGAAGAGCTGAAGGTGATTGGAAGGGCAACAACAGTAGGAGATGTTTGTAAGTGTTTTCATCTACCCAAAAATGCCTTGGGGGCAGCGCATCTGGATAAGAATTCACGAAAGCTCAATGGAAGCGCTCTTTGGAGCATTGTTTGGACTGGTGCATCCTACATGGAATTGTTTTTTTTTGCCACCCGAATCTTTTCTTCAGACGTGTAGGGTTGGGGCCCCGAATGTTCCGTTTGCTTCGGTCATTCCTTCTGGGATTGCCTTTCCCCTTCCTCTGAGTGCGCGAGGCCCCGCAGCTGACGGTACCGAGTGGCTGCACCGAAAGGACGCTTTGACGCCGCTCTCGCAGAGCATCAACCGCTACTCCAAGACTGATCACTTTATAGGACATGTCTGCCATGGCAAGAACTGCCATGGGAAGCACTTCAGTCACTTGCACGAAGTTGGAAGGAACCGATCGCAAGCCCAAAGGCCATGACATGGTGTTATATGACTTCGGATCAATACCAAAATGAGGCACTTCTACACACCCCACCATTGCAGTGGTTCTGTCTCACACCATATTGCCAGAGCCTATGTTTGAGCAACGGATTGGCGAGCTAGCTACAATTTGGCCAGACCCATCACAACTCACACCAACTCGAGTGTACAACATTTCTACCTATAGAAAATGTGATGAGCAAATTGCTTTGTGCAGAAGACCGGCCTGGGCCGTTGTCGCGCGCCCACATGGGAATGAACGAAGATTGCCCACGTGGTACACAAACAGTCATCCGATCATGGTTATACAGTGGCAGGTTAGTGAGTTCTCGCCTCTCGAAAACTTCTAGCGCGCGGACAATCAGTTTTGTATTTATACCATTTTATACCTATTCCGGCAAATATTGACCTTATATTAATTCTGATACCGGGTAGCATGGAACCCGATGAATCACAAAAGAAAATGTATGGATACAACATGATACAATTGATTGGGCGGATCTTTGCCACATCGTGCGAAATCTTGACAGACAAAGCAGATGGTGCACGAGACAATGATCATGCTGAGTTCTCATCATGTGTAGCGCCTCCAAAATCCAAAAGGAGAAATGACCAAGAATTCGGTCAAATTGGAATTACTCATATTTATGACCTCCGCAATGCGTTGCACATTTCGCACGGGACTGGCCAGTGGGTCTGGTACAAGTAATCACGGCGCAATTGGTATCCATTCTAGAGGAATATGCCTCATGGAGCCCAGAACAAAACCAGTTTCAGTTTGTACATAGACTTTGTTCATAAGGCTTGCCCTGGGGCCACACACTCAGCAACGCTGTTTGGACATTCATGTCCCACCATGCGACAGAACCCAGAAGTAATCACTTGGATTGAACTGGCCACGGCTTTACGCTGTGTAGGAGCTTCAAACTGCCCACCCGTCCTCTTCATGGCGAAGGAATGGTAGAATCATTTCTTTTGATTTTGGGCAAAATCCAGATCCTACCTCGTAAAGTCTTCCCTTATGCCTTATGCATACAGTCAGAGGCATTTCGCACAGTAGTCGAGCACTTCTAAAGACAAGCTGATCCCAGTGTATAGCAAGACCGAAACAAAAAGTCTCTTGAACACCAGGTTTAGTGTCACACTCAATGCAGATGTTGTGCCGGCCAACAATTCCACGGTCTCCGGACGTGGTTGATATACCTCATGGAATCGGAAAGCACTTCCGCGGAACACTCATCCAGCCCAACTTGAGAAAGGAAGCACCGATCCCACAGCTGCACCGTGGATTTTGATTCTTCGCTGTAATTGTTCAATCGTAAGCCTTACTCACTCATGCATTCGTGGCTTATCTGGTCCGGTATACTCGTTCTCGCAGTTTTTGTTGACATTATACAGAAACTTCTCGAAACCATCGACCATCCAACGATTATATTTCTGTGCAACATCCTTTAAGTATCCGGCCTGAGGCCAAAGAACCTTAGAGGGGCAAGGACCGTGGGACATGCTGACAAATGGAACATGGACATCCATTCTGTTCAAATCTGCTCCTCCACGACACATCCCCAGATGTTGTTCAGCAGATCGATGAGGCTACATCGAGGTCTCGTCGATCAGTGATCAACCTCGCTGCTTGCCGTTGATCACCGCGCACAGCATTTCCCACGATCAACTACCAGGGCCGCTGCAGGCGATCTCAGATCGACACTGATTGACAGATGGTCAAAGTTGGTTTGTGATTTCCGCAGACGGACTTTTCGGGTTCAGTATTCCCCAAGTAGAAAAAGAGTAGAAAAGCAGGTGAAGTGACCTTTGCAATATCAACTTTTGGATGTCGACAGTCTCCTCATCCTCTCGTCCTCCCCTCAATCAATTCAAGGCGATCATGTTAACCAGAGACGCACGTCGGGGCGAGTCACACCGTTCGGTCAGCGGCTCCTCTGTTTCGGGGAACTCAATGGTGAGCAGTTGGAAACGAGCTTCGGGGGTTGAGGTGTTTTGAGCTCCCCAATCCAAATGGTTTGATTTTGTGTCCGAATTTTGCCTTGACGGAAGAAAGACAAAGACATTTCACGTCTCACAATCCCACTATTAGTGTGTTGAATGTGGAAGCCTCCGGCCCTTTTCTTGAACATGCAGCTTCAATCCCAATCAGACTGGACTCTAATCTGCTGGACTCTGCCAGGTGAGATCCAAGATACCTACTCTCAGCAAGAACTGCTTGGCCTACTTGCTGCGGGTCGCCTGCGAAGATGTGGCCATTGTGTTAGGGACTTGGTCAGGCTTCGAGAAGAGTTGGCGCAAAAGTCGCTTGGTCGAAGGCACGAAGCAGCTGTGTGGTCTACCAAGGGAGGTGCAGAACCTTGAGAAACAGTTTGCTTGTATTGCTTCCGTGGCTGACAGCTTGTCTCCATGATCTCATGCTTTCGGTTTAGACTGCTTTGGCTTGTCAGAAGTTGTTTGTATCATTTTTGTTTCAAGTACCAGCGGTAGTTCTTTGGTCGTGGATACGGTCGAGTAGTTGCAAAGAAAACAGGTGCCGGAGCTTGGTCAAGTCCTCACTGGGACTCAAGGTGTTGATCACCCGAATGCATTGGACACCGTTTCCTTCTTTATTTGGGAGACCTTCCAATGGTCAACTTCCTCGAATGCGAGGCAAAAGGAATCCTTCAAAGCCTGGACGGCTGGACATCAAGGTCTTCGCACTGAAGGCAGTACAGGGCTTTGGGTTTTGTCTGCTTGGGGTCATGAATAGCTGGAAGGGCAAACATATGTTAAGAAGTATATATCCACCCTTTCAGTTTTCTTGGGGTTATGTTATGTTTTTTTGTTGATGCCCTTGTGCCTTTCTTGCACATGCTATGCTGTTAGCTTTTGAAAACGACTTGTTTGCATGGGCCCTTTCCGGTCAAAGCACCTCCTGCATAAGGCTGGCTCATACTGCAACTTGCGCCAAAACACGAATGACACTACATCACCCAGCAGTGTCTGGTCACAGAAGTAGAGCACTTTGACTTGATGTGGCGAGATAAGCCAGAGGACCATAGAAGGCTTCTTTTGGAGCAAGCCAAACCACTGGACCACTATTGTGTGGGGTTCCAGCGAGTGTTTCTTGTATTTCATGCATGCCTAGAGCATGAGCCGTTGGAACACATCCCCAAGAGCCAAAGGTATAGATTGTCAGATTTTTCCCGTCCGAGTTGTTGAGGTTTTCAGATGACTCTGAACGAGTTGCTGCTCAAGGAGCCTGAGCCATTGCAGAACCAAGGAGTTGTTGGATCGGTTCAAATGCATCTAGCCTCTGCAATCATCCAGCTGAGTGTGTTGTCTACACCCAGTGCTCTTGCCATAGGCACGGCCCCTTGCTGTGCCACTTTGAGTGTATGAAGAGGGGGAGTGTGCACATGAGGGAACGCTTGCTTTTTGGGCTGATCCATCAACCCACCCATTGATCACAACAATATTGGCGGTCAAGCCAAGTCAGCATCGGGTGGGACAATCATCACATTCGGGTCAAGAATCAAGAAAGCATGCTTGGAGTCTAGAGAGGTATGATGGTCAAGACATGCTTGAATCCCGCTCATTCTGACCTGATGTCTAGCAGGCTATGCATTTGCCTTGACCTTTGCATCCTTGCATGTGGCTCTTCAACCGCGGATGAGATCATCGCAAGCTCCGTCCTCTAAAACGATGTACGCTCCCTTTTCAGTGGATCAGCAGAAGTTTCACATGCTCCAGTATGCTGGAGGAGATGTAATGTCTGGAGACCAAACAAGGTTGCCGTTGGATGAAAGTACAGTACCCTCTCAAGTAGACGCAAAGACATAGGTATGGCTTCATTTGAGAAGACAGAGAGATGTGAAGATCTCTTTGGTCCAATTGCTTCTCCCTTTATCTTTGCCAGGAGACACAGGGCAACAAAAACCTTCCAAAAGCAGCCGCAAAAGGGACGACTTCGATGGCGCAGGAACAGGATGTTCAACCCCGATGGACGATGATTTCTACAACTATCTCATCTTCGAAAGCGCACTGCATGACTCTGCTGACCATGGTGATTGTGGCGGCTGTGGCGGCTGTGGCAGTTGCGGTGGTTGTGGTGGCTGCGGTGGGTGTGGTGGATGTGGCGGTTAAACACTGCACTGAGCACTTTGCAGTTTGTGCCAGGGCCGAATTTGTACAGCTTCCAGCAGCCTGGAATACATTGAATTGGCAGGGATTTCTAGGATTCCAGAATCTACTGTATTCAAGCCGTGCCTGGTTCGGCAACCTTTCCCCGCTCTGGTTATTTCTTGTTCATTGTATATAGCTTCAAAGAAAGCACATAGAGTTATTCCCGCAATTGACAGGTGGAATCAAAGCATGCTTGCTGCCCAGCCGGTCAAGGGCACATCTTGGGTGCATGCTACAGGTTTGGGAATTCCCAGTTTGTTTTTGCATGTTGAAGAGCAGGAGGTGGGTGAACTGTTGATGAGAGTTTTTCTTTTGCAGAGGGCACCATCGATTGAGGTCGGCCTAAAAACCGAGAAGGAATCACCTACTGTATATATATATAAATACAATACAGTCCAGGAAAATTTGGAGGCAAAGCATAGTGGAGCATTAAAAATAAGGCAAACAACTAAAGCTTTGCACCTATTTTGAGGCATGTTTTGATTTGGCTTGTTTGCAGGGGTCTGTATGCAGTAGAAGCTAGATCCCCAATGTTCCCTACATCCACGCTAGGTAAGACATATGTGTATGGCTCACGCAATAGACCTCCAGAAAAGCTCTGGATGCCGGGAACTCTATGATGATGCTGTATTCCACGAACATCATGCGAACACTTGCGGCCTGCGGCAGAAGCACTCATTTGCTCAATAGTAACAGTGACACCATTTGAAGCGCTATAAACGTGTGGACCTTGGCTGAGTCATAGCAGAAGTATATGTATAATGCAATGCATAGTACATTATTGTCATTGCGTGCTGTCTGCGGACTTAAAGTGGACTCTTCTGATATATTGAGTATGGTTTGTGTATTGTAAAGCCTGCTCCTTGCAGCTATGGCATGGCAGACGTGCAGGAGATTGCACGCTTGAGACCTCTATTGGTCCTGCCTTGACAAGGGAAAGGTCTGTGCTTTTGCAGTACGCAGAGGGTGCAGAGGTCTTTGCCACATAGTATCGTAGATACCTACCTGGAAGCCGGGTTGCTTGGCAGCTAGTCTCTGGTCAAAAGGATCAGTGAATCCAATATTCATGACAGTTGAGACCATGCCTTTTTCTCTGGATCCAAACATATGGACCTGCCTTTCCTTGTGTTCCATGCTCCTGGATTGTAAGATTCAGTCAGGGATCAACCCAGCCCTGAAAGACGTACCACAAAGCCGACCTTGTGACATTCAATGCACGGCTATGCCCAGCTCGCCCAGCTCCGAGCCCCCCCCACTGTCCGGCCGCCAGGAGCGTATTGCTGTGGTGGCCCGACTCCGGCCCGCTGCGTCATGTGCCCTCGTGAGACACACGTCAACGGAGGTGGTGGTCCAAGTGCCACGAGGTGGGGGGTCTTTGTTGGTGAGTGAGTGCTTCTGCAATTGTGAGGGAAGAGGCACGGTGTGGGTTGTGTGGGTTGGTTGTTTGATGTTGTGTTGCTTGCCATAAAGGGAATTGGGGTTTCAGTTGATGCTTTGCCCAACTCCAATCTATGAGACATCATCCTGTTTCATTGCTGTTTCTCTTCTCACTTTTCGGCATGCTAAGATGTAGCATGGTGAAGATGCTTCCGAAGGAAGACAGTTTTATTCTTCTTGCCGGGGCTGTTTTCGCATCTATGTGGATCAGCTGCGGTCGAGTTAAGAAGTCCATGACTCGCGTGGCCAGTGTAGGATGGTCATTTGTCACCCTCTTTCAAATGAACAATGACTGCAAACAGCTTTTGCAGGATTCTATGGGGAAAGGGTTGTCAATTTGGAGCCTTCAAGAAGAAACACTGTGGTCCTAGTCGTGTATGAGTGTCGGGCTTTGATGTTTGGCTTTCCAGGAAAGGATGAGGAGGGACATAGACTTTCCTTAACACAAACAGTCCTAGGATTTCCTAGGTTTTTTTCCGGGAGTTCAGTTCGCGAGTTCTTCGCATTCAACAAGCCCGTACCATCAGCTCAGTGCTTTCTGCCCAGAGCCCCCCCAGCCTTGGTGGCTGTGTTCCAGGAAGCGACACTGTCAACAACCAGGTGGAGGAGTGACCCAGCAGGGCCCCACGAGTGAGAAGAGTATCGCTGAACATGAAGGGTTTGAAGGGGTTGTTCCCATCCCATGCTTGGGGCTGGTGCCTTTAAAAGGAAAATATCAGCAAAAGCAAGCACCCACAGGTAATACTGCTAGTCTTGCCCACTTCCACTTATTAAGCTGGTTTCACGGTTCTGAGTTCTGCCTGGCCATCCCTCACGACTGCAAATCAACAACGGATGCAAGTGCTCGACAGGCTTAGCTTCGTCACTGGTAGCAGAGGTACAGCTTCAGCTTTGCCAAAGTTTTTGGCACAGAAGCCACTCAGAGGGAGGTCTTCGATTTTGTGGCGAAGGCGATCTCCGAAGAGACATGAAAATCAGAGTAGTCTTAAGGGATTGAAGGGCTGGCTTGATTCTTGCCATCTGTTCAATCAATATCATCATACGCTGCGAGCTTTGTAACTTTGCAATGCTTCAGACTGAGACTTTTTTCAATTCCCTGTCCTGTGGGACGGTTTGCCAATTCGAAGTTTGCCAGTTTGGTGACAACTACAATCTTTTCCGGCCCAACAAAAGGTTTTGTCGTTTCAGAACTGAAAACACTTTTTTGCAAAGAACCCCTGCAGCTGGTAAAGGATTTGTTAAAATTCCTGTTCCTAAGACTCATTTGACAAGCAGGACACTTCGCCACATTTCGTTTGACGTTTTCCCTATCCCAGGACTTGGTGCGTGGAGCACTCGACGGAATCAACTGCTCGATTTTCGCCTACGGACAGACTCACGGTTGCCAACGAAACGTCTGTGCCCGTGGGGAAGAAGGTGGGGTCATGCTGGGGGTCTTGGTCTTGCTGCAAAAAGGTGGGACCTCTTCCTACTTCCTCGAAAATGGTGCAGCATTGTACAACCATGAAGGTGTTGTGCTCTTCAAGTTTCTTCACTCTAATCTAGCAACTGAGGTTTATTGAACTTCGAGGCCTTTGGGTTGAGTTGGACAGTCCCAGGTCTGATTTTCAGGAACGTCACTGCCCTTGAGATAAATGGGGACACCCAATCGGCTACAGTAGGCAGCCTGTAAGCATGAGTACTGTATATTGAAACATATCTTTGCACTGCATCGTGACAATGGTGGGACACTTCTCACCAAAAAGTGTGGCTGGCTGAGGACGGGCAGCGGCAAGACACACACCATTTGCTCTGAACTCAGAACACCTCATGCCATTGTGTGAGGCAAAGACGATGCGCTGGCGAGCACAACACTAGATGTCAAACAGCATGCAATTCTTTCCATAGTGAGGTGCCTAGGATGTGGGGTGAGCTCGGCAGACTCGAGCAACGAACTGTAACAAGTTGAGGTGTGACCAACTTGAACCCCATAATTGTCCCTCAAACAGAGTCCTGGAGCAAAAAAGCACATGGTAAACGTCTGCCGCGGCCACCAGGCGGGGATCACCAAGCCCGGGGCATCATTCCGCGCGCCTTGAACTGCCTCTTCAATGCCATTGAGGGTGCGAACGGGGGGACCGAAGCGACGAATTGACAGAGGTATTTGACGATTGACCATGGGGGTGCTGTTGAGATGACTTTATTCTATTAAAAAAACTCTTGAGAAGTTGTTCTGAGTGGTTTTCGCAGAGGAAGGTCAAGTGGAAAATCCTACATGATTCCGCACACAGAATCTGTGAAATCCAAAATGGCCGGAGTCGCGGCCCACGTGCAGCGGCCAAGGGTGCCCAGGTTGAAACTCATCCTGGGACAAAAAGCAGCTGACACAAGGACGCCACGATGGCGTGGACTATTCCGTCTCCTTATCCTTCATTGAGGCCTGGAACGGAGCGAATATATAAGGACCTTCTTTGGCGTACCAGAATCTGGGCAAGTGGTGATGTTTCTTTGGTAGATTTCTTAAGAACTCGCAAGACTCGTAATGCGCGGGGATCCTTGGCAACAGATGAATTATGCACAAGGAGTGGATGAGGGTCTCTTCTGGAATTTAGCTATACCTTAGAGCTTCAACCAGATTTTGCTCCCTTTGTGGTACGAATCAAGCACATCGCTACGGATCAGCTCTCTGTTCGGACCAAGATTCCTTGGCCAGGTGTGAGACACATCCCCAGGAAAGGAGTCAAGTCGATGTTCTTTGGTGTCCATCTGAGAGGTGATTTTGGCCTCCCCTGGTAACTCAGGGTGTTTGAGGTGTCCCCGGGCAGGGTGATAGGCACTTGACGGTGCGTGTTGGCCGACTGTGCTCGTTGCTGCCCGACTTGGTTCCATCTTCCTGGTCTTGAGAAGCCCGGTATAAACCTGACTGCAAGAGGGGAGCCTACTCTAACGGATGTTGCATTTTTGATTCAGGAATGCAGAGTTGTTGCCGTATGATTCTTTTTGGACATGATGAGACAGAGCTCCGGATGTGTGTGTCCTCAACTCTTGACGGTGGCCGGGAGGTCGGAAAGGCCTGTAGATTCTTCCCTACAACATGGACTGTTTTACATGGAGCTTGGCCTTGAGTACATACTCTACCAACACACCCACTGCCACGAGGGTGTTTTATTCTACTCCAAGACCTGGAATGTCCTTACCTTACTAGCTGTTGAGCTTGGACCATGATGCGATTCTTTTCACTGGGGCTTGTCGATGCTGAAATCCCTTGTTTATGCCGTGGGAGGTCTACAAGGAAGTTGGCTATGACTTGCTGTCCAAGGACCCAAGCCCCGGCGCCACCGCCGAAGCCAGGCCCTGGCTTCTATTTTGACAAAGGACATGTGGAAATCCTGACATCGTTGTAAACTATTTGCAGAAGGTGAAGCTCCTCCAAAGGATTTTTATTAGTAGATGTAGCAAAATCCATAGGAGGCCCTGCACACCAGATGAATCAGCAACCTTCTGGGTGTCTTGTCCTTGGTGGCAACATGCATAGCTACCTTGCC